CTTTGATTTCCCTTTCTTGCCTTATGGCCCTGGCTAGGACTTCCAGTACAATGTTGAATAGAAGTGGTGATAGCGGGCATCCTTGTCTAGTTTCTTCTGCAGTTTTTAACACATGTGAAAACTAGGAAACCCACTGCCATCCAATTGATTCTGACTCATAGCAACCCCGTAGGACAGAGTAGAACTACTCCCTAGGGTTTCCAAGGCTGTAAATTTTTATAGAAGCCGACTGTGTCACATCTTTCTCCCGTGGAGCTGCCAATGGGTTTAAACTACCAACCTTTTGGTTGGCAGCTGAGCACTTTAGCCACTATGCCACCAGGATTCTTTTTAAATACATATACAGTTTAGTTTATACCTCCTCAGCTAGAATACTTTGAGGCAAACTCCAGATACCAACATCAAATTGTTTGATCCATAATTCTTTCCTTCCATTCTTGCAGCAGATACTGGGCAAGAAATAACTTTCTTTGCCAGGTACTAAGGCCCTCCTAGGAGCTCTGGTAGCATAGTGGCTAAGGCATTTGCCTGCCAACCAGATGGCTGGTGGTTCAAACCCACCAGCCACTCCTCGGAAGGAAGGTTGGGCAATCCTACTTCCGTAGTGATACTGCCTTGGAAACCCAAGGAGGGGTCGCTATGAGTCGGGTTTGACTCGATGGCACATAACAACAACAACAAGAAGGCCCTCCTAGGAACTCTTCGTAGCATAATGCCTAAGGCACTTGACTGCTAACCAGAAGGCTGGCGGTTCAAACCCACCAGCCACTCCTTGGAAGGAAGATGGGGCAATCTACTTCCGTAGTGATACTGCCTCGGAAACTCAAGGAGGGGTCGCTCTGAGTCAGGTACGGCTCGATGGCACATAACAACAGCAAGACCCTCCAAGAATAATGCCCCCATAACTTGTGTCAGAGTCTTTTTGTTTTAGCAGTAGAAAGATTGTCACCATGGTCCCCCAGAAAATAGTTCCGTGGCTCTGGTGGGGGATTCAGCCTTCTCCCAGTGAGGGCTCTGGACCGTAGCTCTGAGCAGAGCCAGTGAATGCACACATCGGTCCCTTCCACTCCCAAGTCACACATTTGTCTGAATCTCAAGAACACTTTCCCTTGTTAGTAGTTTCCGGTATTAATTTGGTGTGGCAGTGTGGGCCTGCACGTGCAGAAGAACACTTTCCCTTGTTAGTAGTTTCCGGTGTGATAGTAATTTGGTATGACTGTGGGACTGCACATGCAGAAATTGGCAGGAAACTTTTCCAAGTGACTGAGATCAGAGAGCACCGTTTTGTTCTCTCTGGCCAATTAACTGTTTTTGGAATGAAACTGGTCAGAAATGCAGTCCTTTTTCTTTCTTGAAACCTCCTAGATAATTGGGAGATTTGGGCTTTGCCTTAAAGTCTGCTGATGGTTCAGTGGTCCAGATTCCTTGGTTGCATTTTTTGGCTGGCTTCTATCCCCTCTCTTAGGTCAACTCTCGTCCTCTGTAAGTGCTCTGGACTTTAGTCACCTTTTCTGTCTAAGTAGATCCTAAAATGCACCTTTGAAATACTCGATACAATGATATACCTTGCTGATCAGCTTCACATAAATTGTCTAACTGATCTATACCTTATAAGCTGTCAGTTTTTAAAAAAACAACCAAGTTTTCCAACAAAATACTGCAAGTACCATTCTGTATTCTTAAAAATACAGTGTTCAAGTAATGAATGATATACAGTTTGATGTAAAACCCCCAAATTTTAAAAGAGCCCTAAATTTTCATTCCTCCAAAATTAGCTATTTGTAGTGAAACTCTTTGTAAATATCTTTTACACATTTTCCTATGTTGTCATACGTTGAGGATACTGACTTTCTTTGTGCTGAGCGTGCTGGTAATGGAATGGTGAAGAAGAAGGGGCCCTTGCCATCAAGGGCCTTATGGTTAGTTAAGTAGAGACATGGAGCCCCTCTGACATGGCGATTGCCAAGTCTTCTGTACCCTCTTAGCTTTAAGGGATGCACTTGGGACTCTAGAACTATGTGGGGCTGACCTCCCTAGTTTAAGAGGCCCAGCGTGCTTTTTGAACTTTTGCATTTAGCTTTTTTTTTTTTTTTTAATTGTCTGGATGGGTAGTATATGCATGTACTAGAAAATCCAAAAGGACCGGAAGAACGTGGAGAAAAAAGTAAGTCCCCTCGGTTCCCTGACTAACCAGTTTCTTTTCCCCGTTATTACCAGTTTCTTTCTTTTTTTTCCCCCCAGATGTTGTCATGTGTATGCATAGGCATTTTCCCTACCCACGTATTATAACTCAGACACGCTGTTCTGCCCCTTGCCCTTTTCATTTAGCAAAGTCTCCTGGAGATCTTTCAGTATCAATACATACGCAGCTGGTTCATTCTTTTTAATGATAGTTGTCCATGATTTAGCTAACTCACTGCTTTTGAGTCGGTCCCAACTCATACTGACCCCTTCTTAGGTTTCTCAGGTGGTATCTATGGAAGTAGATTGCCCAGTCTTCCTTCCGAGGAGTGGCTGGTAGGTTTGAACCGCTAGCCTTCTGGTTAGCAGTCAAGTGCCTTAGGTACTACATCACCAGAGCTCCTGTGATTTAGCTAGTCTTCTGTTAGTAGACATTTAGGTTATTGCCAGTTTTTCAGAGCTGCTATACACAGTGCTGCAGTGACTAGTCTCATATGAACACCATCTGAAAGTCCGGAGGACATTGCCAAAGTGCCCTCCACCCCCAGCCACAGAATAAAGACGCCGGTCCTTTGGGTTTTCTCTCCTTATATATTACATTTATTCTCCTATGTTTAAAACTTGTTTTTCTTTTTCTGTGAACTGTTTGCATCTTCTGTCCACTTTTCTATTCAGCTGTTGTCTTTTTTTAAAACAGATTTGGAAGAACTCTTTGTATCCAAAAGAAATTAGCTTTTTTGATACTCATTACCAATGCTTGCCTGTGCTGTCTTGGGGCCTCGTTATGTTGTCTCTGCAGTCACTCTCTGCTCTGGTTACGTTTCTTTGTCTCTGCGTTTTGATGTTGCTTAACTTTGGCAGCTGCTTTCTGTCTTATCAGAACTTCCTGTGAAGACAAGCAGATACACTGAGCTCCTGAAGTCTATGTACTGGCCTTTTGATACCTCTTTTAACTTCTTAGTGGTATTTTTTGCTTACTCTTGATTGATACACTTGTGTATTCTTTTCACATTTAGTTTTGTCTGGATAAGTGAGGTGTTAGTGAATCTAAGGCAAAACCTTAGAAGGCAATGTGCTTGTCACCCTGAGGCAGTGAGCTTTGAATGCCCGTCTTCCCTTGCTGTAAGCACTGGTATCATTTTAGTACATTAGCTTTTGATTCAGGTTTATTTTAACATTTTCTGCTCATAAGTGGCCTATAACCTTAGTTAAATCGTTTAACCTCCTTAGTCAAATGGCAATAATGCCTGTCATAACAGGTTATTATAATGATTAAATGAGGTTGGAAATGTGTAGAGGGAAGAAGGAAGGGCAGAGTAGAGTTGTGAAATTTTCCCTGATATTTAGGCCCTGCATTGTTTACATCGAGGCTTTTTCTGCTGTTGATGTGGCAGAGTAACTGGGTTTCCCAGGGTGAAAAGTGCCCCAGCTCCTTGTTTACATTCTGCATGGTCTTGCTGTGCTGGCTGACAGTGGTTCCAGCACCCTCAATTGCAAAAGAATACAGCTGCAGGTAAAGGTTGTGTTAAATTGTTTCTGACTTCCTATCTCTGCCATCAGGGAAGGCAGCTTTTCTTAGTAAAGAGTGTGACTTCTGTGTCTGACATTCGGCCTTGAGAATGTATCGGTGCTGGCTGGCATGTTGGTCAATACATCTGAAGTGGTAAATTGTGCTGAGAACTGCATAGGATAGAGTTGCTAACATTACTCATGTCTTTTTTCCTGTGGTTTTGTCCCTGCTGTTGAGAGCGTATGGAAGCCCTTTTATCTCCCTGTGTTTGTTTCCTGCTCCCTGCTCTGGGAGTGGGTACGGAACGGTGTTAGTTCTCCCTGTAATACTGTGACTGTTTGAGTACGGGGAATTCAAACTGTGACAGGCTACACTCCAAGGCAGTTTGTCCTCCATTTCAGAAATGATAGAGGGCAAGAGAGTACAGTAGGCCTTGGGTTAAGTCCTGGTTTTGTCTCTTTATCTTGAGTAAGTCATTTTACCTGCTGGAGCCTGGTTCCTTCCTTAGGTTCCCAGTCTGTAAAATGAGGATGACAACAGCATAGGGTTGTTATGAGCCTTCTATGGGCTTCTGTGGGTACAGGCATTAGCACAGGGCTTGGCCCGTGGTAAATGCACCATATACCTTGAAAGGGTGATGATATAAAAATCCTTCCTCCTCTTTTGCAGAGGCCCCATCCTGTCTGTCTCTTGGAAGCACCTCCCTGAGCGGCCCCTCCATCCACTGCCCCTCCGCTGCAGTCTGTATTGGCATCCTCCCAGGCTTGGGCGCCTACTCTGGGAGCAGTGACTCGGAATCCAGCTCAGACAGTGAAGGCACCATCAATGCCACCGGGAAGATCGTTTCCTCTATCTTCCGAACCAACACCTTCCTCGAGGCCCCCTAGCTTCTCTGTCCTGACCACAGGTGACTTCTCCCCAGGAGTAGATTGGACGGTTTATTCTGCCTACAGGCATTACCTCCCTCAACAAAACTCCTTTGCCTGCTCCCTGTGCATCCCATGACATCTCTAACCCAATCTAAAATGTGCTGGAATCCACTTGTGGCCCAGATTTGTGTTTGGTTTCTCTTTCCACTCCAGTGCAGATGGCCAAACCTGTCCCACGTCTCTTCACTCACTGATGTGGCAGGGTGAGGGGCAGGCCCAGCAGAAATGCCACTAAAAATGCCCTGGAAGCAGAGACACCACCAGCTGGCTTGCTAAGGGTTTTGGTTTTATTGCTTGCTTTCTTTTTCCTTTCCCAGAGGCACAAAAAGGCCAGAGCGGTTATTGGGCAGGTATGACCACGTGGTTAGTTACACTGGGATTGCAGAGTGTGCAGGGGATGAGAACTGACCCAGGTGATGAAATGGAGCACTCCCCGGGAACTAACCATTCCTGACGCTGTGTGACTGAGTAGAGATGGTGAACTGTTTCTGCAGGGGTGCTGCTTAACATTTGCCCTTCACTGTGACTATTTTCCTTGTTCTTGGCCATCCTTCTCCTCCCTCCACCTAATCCCATCACTGTGGCCGATGGAGAAGGACTGGTTACAAGCCTGCTTCCATTGTCTAACACCTTTGCTCTGCCTGGCAAATTGTTTTGTTTTGTTTTTTTTAAATAAAGGATTTAGTTTAAGACTCTAAACTTTAGAAGAAAAATACATAGGCCTTATTTAGTCATGGCCAGAGGTCAGAACTGCAGGCGGATGTGCTGACAAGATGACTTGTTTATGGTGGCTCTTGGAATCCTCAGATTGCAAACCAGTGGGAAACACCTGCATATTCTGACTGTGCTCTGTACTCTGCCGAGACCCTTCTCTGTTTGGTACACAGTATAGTTAGAGCTTTTAACTATGGCTAAAGCTATTTCTAGCCTAAAAGTACTGCCCTAGTCCTTTCCTCTGCTCTTACCTGCTGTCCCTACAGCCCTGTTTCCTACCCGAACAGGGCAGCTCTGCGGCTCTGAGCAGCCAAGACCTAGAGGTACTGCTCCATCTCTTTGTCTAGTCCTCCAGGGATACAAAGGAGCACTGGTGGCACTGTGGTTAAAGCTTTGGGCTGCTAACCAAAAGATCGGTGGTTCAAATCTATTTTCCACTCCATGGGAGAAAGATGAGGCAGTCTGCTTCTGTAAAGATTTACAACCTTGGAAACCCTATAGGGCAGTTCATTCTATCCTATAGCAGCACAATGAGTCAGAATCGACCCAAAGGCAGTGATTTGACAAGGATACAGGGGCTCATCCCTTTGATTATAATAGAGGGAGGGAGGGAGGGAGAAACGGCATGGAGGCCTCAAGGACAGAGGTAGGCGTGGACTTAAAAACAAATCTACAGACTCCCCCTCCTTCAGGAAAATGAACCTGTAACCACTCTTTTCTAACCTGGTTTCTACATCAATTGTTTCTACTTCCTGGAGTGTGAGACTGAGAGAGACACACACAGAATGTGTTGACACTGTGATGCTGGCAGGCAGAGAAGCTACTCAGTTCTAACGTGGGCAGAGAGGCCCCTGGATCTCATCCAGCCTACTCCTTTTCCCCTTCAATGCAGTGACATTCTTGTGCCCGTTGGCAGATGGTGACTTCCCTTCACCCATAACTGATGGCTTGTGAATTCTTCCTCCTTTTCAGAACGACTCTGTGCTAATTGTTCCTGACTGTCAGTACAGGCACGTCAGCTCCAGCCTAACAAACAAGACGTTTAGGTGACTGTGTAGGCACCTTCTGCTTCCCTGCCTCATTGTTCCTGTGACTGTGCTGTCATTATTCCAGCACGTACCAAAGCAACCTCAGAGCATTTCAGGAGGCAGACCAAGTGATCAAAGTCACCATCATTATGGGGTTTGACTTTGAAGAGGCCATTACTGTATCTGGTGGCCATTGTGGATGCTAGAAGAAGGTGACAGAGGGCTGAAGGGATTAAAAATATACATTAACTTGAAAGCTAATAAACCTGTTGGAGAACAAGATCTTGTTTTTCCTATGCTGAGTTCACTCTCCAGCTGCTAAAACATGTAAATTTTGTTGAGAAGGTTAGGACTCTTTGGGCTGAAATTCTGGTTTTTGGTGTCTTGGGAGAGATTGAAAATCACTAGTAATTCTTTCATAGTATTCTGTTGTATCCATTAGTGAAGAGCCCTGAGACAGTGATCCAGTTTCTGTAGAAACCATTAATAGCAAAGCAGGATCTGCTCTGACCAAGAGATAAGCAGCCTTGGAAAACATCCAGCATAGACCTTGTGGTTCAAATCCAAAGGATAGAAGAACAGGGATAGAATGAAGCACTGCTTTAAACCATAAAATGGAGCACGCCTGCCTTAATGAATAATCGGGACTCTATAGCTAGGTCAGAAAGGATCAAAATCAAGTTTGGGAGTTTCTTTAAACCTGCTTATAACTCTTGAACTGTGCTAGAGAGCAAGCTAGTGTATAAAGAGTTCTATTGCCAGTTCTACGTGGGGTGGAGTATCCAGCTTGTATCACCTACCTTCAAGCCATTTCCTGCTAGCCATCTCCCTCTGGCCCTGTTACCTGTCAGCATGGGGAGAATGGGAGCAAGACAATCATAGCATCCATTTTTCCATCTGTTGAAAGCAGAGAGGCTGATGTGACTGGACCCAAAGAGGAGACTGTTTATTTATATGTGTTTATATGTGTCTTCCCTGGACTCCGGGACCCAGAAAAAAGGGAACTAGTTCCTGAAATCTAGCGAGTAGGAGACTTCAGCTATTTTCTGCAACATTCTAGACTGAGAGTCAGGAGCTTCTAACTCTAGGCTGGTCCCCTGCATCCTCAATTCTTTGATTCTCTAGAATTAAGAATTAGCTCTTTAGAATTTATTGCTACCTTCTTTCCACCCAAGTGAGAAGTTTTGTTTCCTTAAGACCTTCCCATTGCTTTGGCTTCTCCTCCCCAGGAACTGTGCCCAGTTCTGTCTTCCTTGGATCTTCCATAATGGTTATGAGCTTACAGTTAATAGCTCTTATCACTCTAGCAAGGTCCTTAACTTCTCTGGCTGTCAGTTTCTTCCTCAGTGAATAAGAATAACAGCGCCTGCTTCCTAACAAGGTAAAAGGTAATCTAGATTGTAGTTACTTGGTGTGGTATCTAGCAGTAAATGGTAGGGAGGCTCATTAGTAAGCATCAGGCCTCATCCTGTTTTGGGGTGGGGTGTCCAGAGCTTCCATTAGTGGTAGTTTATGGAATCCTATTGGCATTCCCCAGTTGCAGCTAGAACACTGGCATGATGAAGGGTCGGATTTGGTCGCCAAGGCTCGCAACTACCAGCTTCTGCTGTATGCTTTCCGCTTAGCTAAATGTTAATTGGTTAGGCACACCCGGTTCCTTGGCTCGGGTGGCCTAGCCGTGGGTATGTAGCTCAGCTGTTGGCTTACACCCCTCCAGAAAAACAAAAAAGGAGAGCTCAGTGGCAGTGCTGAGTCCAATCATTTGGACTTGGGTGTTTTCTTGATTTCCTGGCATGCACAGCCACTTACACATAGCAGCATGGAATGTAAGTTCTGCTCAGTGGGAGGCTAGAATCTTGGCAACACTTTAGTAGTCACAGGTTGGACACAAGAAGCCAGTCCCATATTCATGCCTTAGTGATGCTGCTAGGCTGGCATTCTGCTCCTCTACCTGCTGGAGCACTTGTTAGGGAGGAGGAAGTTTTGATTTACAGCAACCACAGGCAGAACAGGCCTTCAGCATTGGAGCTTTGCAGAAGAGACAGGCAGAAAAACCCAGAGAGCTAGCCCTCCTTCCCGAGCTGTGTTCCTTACGTCAGTTTGTTTCATTCATGAGCATATACCGAGGGCCTGCTGTGTAGGTGCCCGCCCGTCTGGGCCACTTGCTGAGTGTAGCATGGACTTCGGTGTATTTCCTTCTGAGGGAAGTCCTGGCGAGCAACCCTTGTCTACGTTGTGCAGAGGAAATTGAAATTCCTGGTGGTTCAGTGACTTGCCGGAGGTTGCACAACCAGGTGGCAGAACCAGAATTTGAATTTCAGCCTTTAACACTATGCCTGCCTTTCTGTGGGTCAATGAAGCTCTTAAACAAATGCCAGTGCCCAGCCCTTGGTGGCAGGATTCAGAGGTGAAGGAGTCCGATTTCCCACTTCACTTTTCAACTTGCCATCTGTGTACATGAGTAAAGTATCAGCACCAAACGTATCCCAGATGTGGACTTTTGTTTTTCAAGTGGCCCTTGGCAGGAGTTTAGGGGGTTGTCAGTCTCTTAGCCTTTTACTCCCTGAACTTTAACAGACATGAACAGGCATAAAAAAAGATGGCCGAATACCAGCTTTACTTCTCAGAGTAAAGAGCTCCCTAGTAAAGCTGCATTGGTCCTGAGACGCATGCTTCTTTACCCTGTGAATTGCAGCCAGCTAGGCATAAAGGGCCAATGACTGGCCACCCAGTCTCAGGCAGAGAAGGGGGCACAGAGAACACAAATGGCTTGATCTGCTCACCACATGAATCCTGCAGTTGGGGACCACCACACTTGAAGTACATTGTCCCCAAGAGTGCCAGCATTTGGGATGGACCCTCAGTGCAAAGTAGAAATGCTGCCTTACCATGGCCCAGTAGGTTTCATCGATATGGAAAGTTACTCCCATAGAGAGTTAGGGGGAGGGGGAGAGATGGCTGCCTGAAAAGTGGTCACCTCAATATGCTTTTTAGTCCCTTGGGGACTAAGGAGGGACTGTAGGGCTGGGAGAAGGCTCTTCTCCTGTTTAGGGGGGCTCTTGTGAATCAGAGTAGCCCTAGTGGTGCAGTGGTTTAAAGTGCTAGGCTGCTAACCTAAAGGACAGTGGTTTGAATCCACCAGCCACTTGAAGAGAGAAAGATTTACAACCTTGGAAACCCTCTGGGGGCAGTTCTGCTCTGTCCTGTAGGATCACGATGAGTCAGAATTAAATCAGTGGCAGTGGGTTGGGTTTGCTTTGGTGAATCTGAACTTCACAGATTTTTCCCATGCTAGGGTGGGTACAAAATTACCTGGGTGTGACACCCAGCTAGACTGTTCTGGTTACCTAGTACTACTCTGACAAGAAT